GAACTTTCAAGGCAATATTGTGTTGATGATGGTGGTTCATGCCACTTATGTTTCAAGGATGAAAGGTTGGGAATATGGGCAATCATTTCTGGGTGATGGTAATGGTAATTTGTCTTATAGAAGGCAGAATTGGAACATGAAATTTAAGGATGCTACCTCTACTGCTCAAGCAGCGGCTGAGTTTGCAGAACATGCAGGCCTAGCCGCCAGAGCTGTTTTAGAACTTTCAAGGCAATATTGTGTTGATGATGGTGGTTCATGCCACTTAGGTTTCAAGGATGAAAGGTTGGGAATATGGGCAATCATTTCCTGGAGATGGTGATGGTAATGTTTCTGTTGGCAGACGGAATTGAAACATGAAATTTAAGGATGCTACCTCACCCTCTCAAGCAGCGGCTAACTTTGCAGAACATGCAACCCTAGTTTCCAGAGTTGTTGTACAACTTTCAAGGTAATATTGTGTTGATGATGGTGGTTCATGCCACTTATGTTTCAAGGATGAAAGGTTGGGAACATGGGCAATCATTTCTAGGTGATGGTAATGGTAATTTGTCTTATGGCAGGCAGAAATGGAACATGAAATTTAAGGATACTACCGCTTCTGCTCAAGCACCGGATGAGTTTGCAGAACATGCAAGCCTAGCTGCCAGAGCTATTGGAGAACTTTCAAGGCAATATTGTGTTAATGATGGTGATTCATGCCACTTAGGTTTCAAGAATGAATGGTTGGAACATCGGCAATCATTTCCTGGAGATGGTAATGGTAATTCTTCTGTTGGCAGGCAGAATTGGAACATGAAATTAAATGATGCTAACGTTGCTGCTCAAGCAGTGACTGAGTTTGCGGAACATGCAAGCCCAGGTGCCAGAGACGTTGTAAAACTTTCAAGGCAATATTGTGTTGATGATGGTGGTTCATGCCACTTTGATTTCAAGGATGAAAGGTTGGAACATGGGTAATCATTTGCTGGAGATGGTAATGGTAATTTTTCTGTTGGCATGCATAATTGGAACATGAAATTTAAGGATGCTACCTCTGCTGCTCAAGCAGCTGTTGAGTTTGCAGAACATGCAAGCCTAGCTGCCAGAGCTATTATAGAACTTTCAAGGCAATATTGTGTTGATGATGGTGGTTCATGCCACTTAGGTTTCAAGGATGAAAGGTTGGAACATGGGCAATCATTTCCTGGAGATGGTAATGGTAATTTTTCTGTTGGCAGGCAGAATTGGAACATGAAATTTAAGGATGCTACCTCTGCTGCTCAAGCAGCGGCTGAGTTTGCAGAACATGCAAGCCTAGCTGCCAGAGCTGTTGTAGAACTTTCAAGGCAATATTGTGTTGATGATGGTGGTTCATGCCACTTAGGTTTCAAGGATGAAAGGTTGGAACATGGGCAATCATTTCCTGGAGATGGTAATGGTAATTTTTCTGTTGGCAGGCAGAATTGGAACATGAAATTTAAGGATGCTACCTCTGCTGCTCAAGCAGTGGTTGAGTTTGAAGAACATGCAAGCCTAGCTGCAGAGCTGTTGTAAAACTTTGAAGGCAATATTGTGTTGATCATGGTGGTTCATGCCACTTAGGTTTCAAGGATAAAAGGTTGGAACATGGGTAATCATTTCTTGGAGATGGTAAATTTTCTATTGGCTGGCAGAATTAAACATGAAATTTAAAGATGCTACCTCTGCTTCTCAAGTAGCGGCTGACTTTGCAGAACATGCAACCCTAGTTGCCAGAGCTGTTGTAGAACTCTCAAGGCAATATTGTGTTGATGATGGTGGTTCATGCCACTTAGTTTTCAAGGGAGAAAGGCTGGAACACGGGCAATCATTTCCTGGAGATGGTAATTTTTCTATTGGCAGGCAGAATTGGAACATGAAATTAAGGATGCTGCCTCTGCTGCTCAAGCAGCGGCTGAGTTTGCAGAACAAGCAAACCTAGCTGCCAGAGCTGTTGTAGAACTTTCAAGGCAATATTGTGTTGATGATGGTGGTTCATGCCACTTAGGTTTCAAGGATAAAAGGTTGGAACATGGGCAATCATTTCCTGGAGATGGTAAATTTTCTATTGGCAGGCACAATTGGAACATGAAATTTAACGATGCTACCTCTGCTGCTCAAGCAGCGGTTGAGTTTGAAGTACATGCAAGCCTAGCTATTAGAGCTGTTGTAGAACTTTCAAGGCAATATTGTGTTGATGATGGTGGTTCATGCCACTTAGGTTTCAAGGATGAAAAGTTTGGAATATTGATAATCATTTCCTGGAGATGGTAATTCTTATATTGGCAGGCAGAATTGAACATGAAATCTAAAGATGCTACCTCTGCTTCTCAAGCATCGGCGGAATTTGCAGAACATGCAACCCTAGTTTCCAGAGCTGTTGTACAACTTTCAAGGCAATATTTTATTGATGATGGTGGTTCATGCCACTTTGGTTTCAATGATGAAAGTTTGGAACATGGGCAATCATTTCCTGGAGATGGTAATGGTAATTTTTCTGTTGGCATGCAGAATTGGAACATGAAATTAAAGGATGCTACCGTTGTTGCTCAAGCAGTGACTGAGTTTGCAGAACATGCAAGCCTAGCTGCCAGAGCTGTTGTAGAACTTTCAAGGCAATATTGTGTTGATGATGGTGGTTCATGCCACTTAGGAATCAAGAATGAATGGTTGGAACATCGGCAATCATTTCCTAGAGATGGTAATGGTAATTTTTCTGTTGGCATGCAGAATTGGAACATGAAATTAAAGGATGCTACCGTTGTTGCTCAAGCAGTGACTGAGTTTGCAGAACATGCAAGCCTAGCTACCAGAGCTGTTGTAGAACTTTCAAGGCAATATTGTATTGTTGATGGTGGTTCATGCCACTTTGGTTTCAATGATGAAAGGTTGGAACATGGGTAATCATTTCATGGAGATGGTAATGGTAATTGTTCTGTTGGCAGGCATAATTGGAACATGAAATTTAAGGATGCTACCTCTGCTGCTCAAGGAGCGGCTGATTTTGCAGAACATGCAAGCCTAGTTGCCAGAGCTGTTGTGGAACTTTCAAGGCAATATAGTGTTGATGATGGTGGTTCATGCCACTTAGGTTTGAAGGATTAAAGGTTGGAACATGGGCAATTATTTCATGGAGATGGTAATGGTAATTTTTCTGTTGGCAGGTAGAATTCGAACATGAAATTTAAGGTTGCTACCTCTGCTACCCAAGCAGTGGCTGAGTTTGCAGAATATGCAAGCCTAGCTGCCAGAGCTATTGTAGAACTTTGAAGGCAATATTGTGTTGATCATGGTGGTTCATGTCACTTAGGTTTCAAGGATAAAAGGTTGGAACATGGGTAATCATTTCCTGGAGATGGTAAATTTTCTATTGGCTGGTAGAATTGAACATGAAATTTAAAGATGCTACCTCTGCTTCTCAAGTAGCGGCTTACTTTGCAAAACATGCAACCCTAGTTGCCAGAGCTATTGTAGAACTTTCAAGGCAATATTGTGTTGATGATGGTGGTTCATGCCACTTAGTATTCAAGGATGAAATGTTGGAACACGGGCAATCATTTCCTGGAGATGGTAATTTTTCTATTGGCAAGCAGAATTGTAACATGAAATTAAGGATGCTGCCTCTGCTTCTCAAGCAGCGGCTGAGTTTGCAGAACATGCTAGCCTAGCTGCCAGGGCTACTGGAGAACTTTCAAGGCAATATTGTGTTGATGATGGTGGTTCATGCCACTTAGGTTTCAAGAATGAATGGTTGTAACATGGACAATCATTTCCTGGAGATGGTAATGGTAATTTTTCTGTTGGCAGGCAGAAAATGAACATGAAATTTAAGGATGCTACCGCTGCTGCTCAAGCAGCGGCTGAGTTTGCAGAACATGCAAGCCTAGCTGCTAGAGCTGTTGTAGAACATTCAAGGTTATATTTGGTTGATGATGGTGGTTCATGCCTCTTAGGTTTCAAGGATAAAAGGTTAGAACACGGGCAATCATTTCCTGGAGATGGTAAATTATCTGTTGGCAGGCAGAATTGGAACATGAAATTAAGGATGTTGCCTCGGCTGCTCAAACAGCGGCTGAGTTTGCAGAACATGCAAGCCTAGCTGCCAGGGGTGTTGGAGAACTTTCAAGGCAATATTGTGTTGATGATGGTGGTTCATGCCACTTAGGTTTC